TCACGCCATAGCCCGCACAGATCGCGGAGATGACAACAACAACAACAACAACACTCACCTCTTTTCCTTACTATCGGTTAACAAATTCAAACGTTTCCTGGTATATTTCCTTATAAAACACATGGTAAACGCTTTATCGTGTACTGCCGAGTTATGGATGCACTCAAGAGACTCAGGATTGCTAAGCTCACAACAACTCGAGGAATTACGAATAATTTATTGACGTCATCAGCGTGCTCAATAGGAATATGAAGCACGCTCGCGCTATTGAATTTGATTAGGAGAGTTTTGTAGCTATGTTATAAAACCTGTTGTTATATGACCCTCCAGAATGTTCTAAAAGGATATTGATGTTTTCTTTGACAAATTCTATGTGCATAATCTTTTTATGTCTTGCTTCAGTAATCCTCTCATAGAACAGTGAATGCATTAAACAGTCTACTTCTTTTTTCATAAAAATTGACGATTTATTTTCCACACTGAGCCATACGGCTACTTACTGGGCTATTTCTTACAAGGTTTGTTGACTGAGTAGGGCATACAAGTGTAGCCCAGAGGTTTTGTTTTTGTTTGCCAGTGATCTGTATCTTGCTAATCTTTTATCATTAAATTTGTACAAGATCTTGTTATCATTTGTTATGCTTCCCTTCGGAATTCTGTGTGTTCGCCCGCTTTCAGCAAGAACGATGTATTGATGTCAGCATTAGCAAGTTTCAAAAATTTACAGCTCGAGTGATGTTTTTTGCATGGTTACCATTTCATGGAGATGCTAACTGAAGCCACAGCAAAATGGGAACTTAGAAAAGCCTAAAATCGATTTATCTCGAAACATAATACACATGTCTTACATGCCCTTTACTTTCCTAAAGGTGTTTTGAATACGAACGAATATTGTAAATGTGAGGGGCAAAAACAGTATTAATATGAATGAACCATAGGGTTTTAATTAATATAAGGGTCAATCTGATCGTGCATTGAGATGAATCGCTTGAAATAAAAGAGAGAGTTCGTGCACATGTGATCAGAAGTAAACAAGGGCACATAGTGCGTTTCGTTCAGTCTTTTTAATATCCAAGAACTGTAAAAAGTGTTTCGATATTTGTTTACCTGGCTCAAAAACTTCGGAGGAGTTATAAAGCGGCATAAATTTCTTCCATGAAGAAAAGTTAGTCACAGGTGCGACAAACAACGAACTGGAGCGATCGAATTTTTAACACGGTACGCGGGGTAAAAAATATGTTATCGATCGTTTGATCTATTTATTTTGTTAGGGCCTCTTTACATGGTGATGGAGGACCCCAGCTACGATCTTGGACAAAATAAATGGAAAACCTAGAACCCCCCTCCCCCCAAATCAAGGATGGGAAAATGGCGCGTTTTTGCCCTTCGCGCGGCTTCATCCTTGATTTGGGGGGGTGGGGGTTTGCTGTTCCATTTCATTTTGTCCAAGATTGTAGGTGACGTAACCCGCTTTGGTGGGGTAATCCGCCTGTCCATAAAATCTCTCATTTTAATTTGATCACGTTTACATGATAGGTGGGGTAACCCTCCACATATTACCTCACCTACCTGGGGTCCCCCACCTACATGTAAACAGGCCCTTAGAGAAAAATACCAAGAGAAAAATCTTAAAACTGAATATCTGTTATCTTGCGGAAAAAAAATAACGCGTTTAACATGAAAACGGTTTTCATGTAGACCGCAAAATAGGATCGTCTCAGTGGAATCAATGAGGCCCGTGGATCGGGATCAATGGGCAGTTAGCTGTCTGTTTTAGTAAACTCCTCGTTTTCATACAGTGGTAACAGAAGCAGCGCAGTGAATTCGCCGTTTGGCGAATCTAGTTTACAGATAACCCATGGGTAAAATTAAGGCAAAAATTGAAATTCAAAATTTAGAATTTGAATTACTAACTGCAAAATATTGTGAATCTCATGTAGCTATGATGTAATAATTTAAAATAGGTTAACCTGAAATTATGATTTAATATCAAAAGTTATTTGACAGCTGGTGACCAGAATTCATAAGGGAATGTTGAAAACTTGTTTGCCACTGTTCATGTGTACTTTTAATCATTGAAATCGGACACTTAACATTTTGTATGTCATTGAAATTCTATAGGAAAATTCATTACCTGACGAGGGAATTAAATTGCACGCGAAGACCAATATCTTCGCGATTAGTGCGATATCGGTTTTCAAGTGCAATTTAACGCGGAATTGAAGACTTAGGTAATGGATTTTCCTTGAATCGCATAATTGAATAAAAATAACAAAAAAACAACCTGGAAAGCCATGGAAAACTATTGTTCACTGCAAATGTCAAAGCAAGGACAAAATGAAAAAAGTCAAATTATCTCCATGAATGGCACATATTTTGGCGGGCAGCATGCAGTGGTTGTGAGTGTTGACCTGAGTTATGTTAAAAAATACCCTAAAACAAAATGAAGATTTTCATGAGAAGAGCTCAAAAGAGGATGCACCCTGTTTAAACATACCAGACATGCAGTGTCCTTAAATAAATTTATAATCCACTTAATTAACTACTAGAGGGTTTATACTAAATTCAACTTCTTTGCGCTGATTTATTGGAAAGACATGAAACTTGGAGGATATGACATACACATATGTACGAACCGTTCTTTGGCATCATGCCAATCTTTCTTTAATATACGACTCTTGACATCATGAAAATCACTGACAAGTCAAATTACATTTTGCAATGTAAAATGTTCCCGTTTCTGTAAAATTTGACGCACAGACTATGTGAAGGAAAATGTTGAAAACAATCGTTTTTTTTTAAGAAATGTGATGTGACACGATGTTGGCCACGCCCTTAACGTCAAATTTCAGGAATACTTTAAATTCTTTTCGACGAAAAAAAATATTGTCAGAAAGTACACAACATGGCTTTTCACTGATGGTAATTTGACAGAGATAGGGTAAATATATTTCTTAAAACAAAGCCTAAACTTTCACAAAAAATTGTGAAAAATAGCCTCTAGTACCAATTTCAAGGAACAGAAAATCCTATAAAATGTACGACACATTAGTTGGGAAGCAGACGTACTTCGTGGTAACTTGCCTGAAAATACGCGCTAAGTCAAAAATTCTGTATAAATGTACACCTAACTGTAATAACATTGTCTCCAAAAAATGCTAAAAGGAAAAACGAAAAAATGAAAAAAGGCACGCAGGAATTAATTACGCTCTCTGTTAAACCTAAACAGGGTGCATTCACTTGCAGCATAGGCGTTTTTAGGGGGTAAAAAGAAATGCTTTGAAGAGTCTTTTTAGGCTATCCAGAGTCTTGTTTTAGATCTCTAGAAATGCATTCTATAAGCGGAGCTATAAAATTTGTACCTGTTCAGTCATCCTAGGAGAACTTGAGGCTTTTCAAAATTACAAGGGCTTCAGTGTTATTTTCCCCCAAATTTTAGAAGCAATTGAACGTTTTACGAAAGTGAGAATTTTACTTATGCCTCTCTCCATCACATTTTTGAATCCGAAAATTTTAGATTTCCTTTTTCTGCGAAAGTAAGCATAACATAAGGAGTAAAATGTGAAAAAGTTTAATTTTCTGAAGTTTGAAAACTTCAGAAAATCGTAGGAAATTTTTTAGATAAGTTTCGAAAATTATATCTGAATGGAACGCTCATCTAGAAATTTTTAGCCGCATTCAAGCAATAGAAAATTCTAGGCAACATTTGCTTCTCCGAAAAGATATTTTACAGAAACCATTCGTTGGGTGCCCCTGATGTTACGACTGTTCGCGTATGTTACACATAGATGTACTTTATTGTGGTTTATGTATTTGTAAGTCTAAATAATTCCTATTTGGCTTTTTACGTTTTTCGTTGTTTTTTCAGTATTTTTGCATCTGTGACAATGTTATTGGCGTTAGTAGGTGTATGTATATTTTCGGCATTCTCTTCTTTTCACTCCCTTATTTAATTTATTGAAGGCAGTGTCGCCCCATAACTCCAGTAAACTGCAATATAGCGTTGATTGGCGTTTGAACATAGTTGGAGGACCTACAATCACCATATGGTGGTGTTTTGGCAGTTTTCAGGTGAATTCCTAGTAATAAGATTTGACAGTGTTCGTCCCTTACCAGAAGGTGTACTGCCTTTTACTCAAGAAACGCTATCATAATGAGTGGAGCAGTGTGTCATGGGAGGGCTAGCTGCAAAACGTTTTTGGGTAAGGTCAGGTCGCTTGAGCAAAAGTAGTATTTCACCCGTCGATCATTCTGTAATCGTTTTCTAAAGGCATAATGTTGCATGAGCCATCGCCTTTTTATACTTTTTTAAAACGATTTTTAAAGTATTACAATCAAAAACGATGTAGTTTCTTTGTCGAGGGGATTTCATATACAGAAGAAATTTATGCGTTTATAATTCACGTTGTTCTATCTTTTTGAAATTTCGGAACGGGTCTGGAACCAATCCCATTTTAAGTGGACAGCATCTAAGAAGCGATGTGCTTTTGGTAGCCCATGCAGCAGTTGCATGTTCTGGAGTGCAAAGTGTGAAGCAGTTTCATTTCATTTTTTAACTTTTTAACAGGATTGCAAAAAATATGCCATATGTTAGCTTGCTGTTTGGTGTTCGTTATTCGTTGGTCCATTTTGTTTGCTAATTTTGATACTGTTATTGCCTGCCGACCTCGCCAATCCTCTTCCTTGCAGGGGCTACGGGTAACTCAACCAAAGAAGACAACATGAGCAAAGAAGAACAGTACCACTCACAGAGGTCCGCTGACGATGATAATGAACATGAAAGCGAGGTTGAAAATCACGGCCCGAAACGCAACACCCGTAGGGTTGCTGAATGTGATGCCAATGAACTTGGTGCTAGCCACGGAGAAATGATGGCCAATGATGAGGTTGACCATGACGATGGTGATGATGATGATGAAAATGACGATGCTGATGACGACAACGACCTTGTGACACAATCCCGCTCGTTAACCGAAGACAACATTGTATCAGACAAAAGAATGAAAGATGTTAAATTAGCTACCAAGGACACCACCTTTAGCTTGGCAGATATCACTGGCTTCGATAAGGAAGTCAAATCTCAGACTATCGAGACTACAGCGGTTAACAATGGTAAAGAAAGGCCATCGGGGACTAGAGCGAAAACTTTCTTTAAAGACCGTGATAAAGACCGTGGTAACCGTGGGGAGTTTGATTATGAAAATAAAAATGATGCTGAATCCGAAGAAGTTGTGGCCAAATCAAGCTCGTTACCTGTTGAAAGCCTTGTACCAGGGAGCAGTTTCAAAGATTTTAAATTAGCTACTAAGGACACCAAACTTAGCTTACCAGTTAACACTGTCTTCGATGACCAAGTCAAATCTTGGACAATCGGAACTACAGTGGGGGACAACAATGGTAACAAAAAGCCGCCGGGTGCTAAAGCGAAAACGTTGCTTACGAGTAATGAGTACACTGCAAAGGTACCTACGACGAGTTATCCACCAAGCCTAGGATCGAAGGCTTCGTCATTGAGGTTACCTCGAGTAAATGGGGCGGAATTAAATTACTTTTACAACAGCAGAATACCATCCCTAGATGCGACAGGTATCAATCAAAATTTCCTTGCGCGACATACGACAGATCAAAGTCTACAACATACCTCACAGCCTAGTGATTTTAAACAAACGAGAGAATTGACTCCACCTACGAATTGGCCCGTATGGAGTCTACCACCTCCTGCAATGACTGAAACAAATGATTTGAGACATCGATGGCCTCAGTCAAGTGTAGTGCACCCTTCCGTCGTCGGTTATCAAACTGGGGGACAAAGTAACTGGAATGACGAGCCACCTGCATTAAGGCTACCTACAGTAAAATCGCATACGCCCGTGGTATGTCGCAAGGCCACTGCAACAGTCACGGAATTGCAGCCTAGTGCGAGTGTAACATCTCAGAGTGTACCTTCATACAGCTATCAATCCAGTGTGTTGCCTGAAAACAGGCAAGAACGTTTCCTGGAGCCTTCCATACCCAATTCCTTTAAAGAAAACCAAGAACATGTTCATCCTGTGACTTCACCTGAAATATCTTCTTTAAGGGGAGAGGATCAGAGAAATGGTGCTGTGGCATTATCACCTGAGTTCCCGGATGATTCCTCACTTGCCGCACTAGAACGCAAGGTGGCGGAGGCATGCGCAGTAGTTGAAAGGGTTATGAAAGAACGCGAAGAAAGAACAAAAGCGCAGCGTGAGGCAGCGCGAAAGAAAAGAGAGATGAGAGAACAAAGAGAAAGAGAGGCAAGAGAAATGAGAGAAAGAGAAGAAAGAGAATGGAGAGAAAGAGAAGAAAGAGAAAGGGAAGAGAGAAAAATGAGAGAAAGACAAGAGAGAGAAATAAGGGAAAGAGAAAGGAGAGAAAAAGAAAAGAAGGAAAGAAAAAGGAGGGAACCAGTAGAAAATGAAGACAGGGATACAAGGTGGTTTGGGGGAGAACGGGCACCGGTTCAAGAGAGCCCGCGATGGCAGTGCGTGCATTATCAGCGGCGTTGCCTCGTGAAGTTTCCTTGTTGTGGAATCTTCTACCCTTGTCACTGCTGTCACAATACATCGGGGGCGTGTGATACCGATGACAGGAAGGCAAATAATGCGACGCATGTCAAGTGTGGCATCTGTGGACACGAAGAAGAGGTCAGTGCCTTTGTTCTAACGGTTATTCCTAACAATTGCTTCGCACATTCTTACTGCGCATAATTGCACGGTTGATTAGCGCGCGCACATTAAAAATGGCGACTTTTGCTTTGGGGGTGGAGATCGCCAGAGGTAAATCTTCATTTATCTCTTAAACCAGTATAGCGACCTATCATTTTTCTTTCTTTCACTAAATTGAGGGGCAATTTTTCCGCAGAAAGTAGACAAGTTCTCAGTACAGAAAAAGACAAATTGAAGGGAAAAGTGGTCAATTTTCATGTAATCGTAAATAGAGTTATACTGATATTGTAAGGAATCATTGCCTTTTAACACGGTGCTTTCAAATTTCCATTTACATAAGGCCATCCCCCTTTTTTTTTTCATTTAACGCCGAAATCGTTTCCTGATATTGGGTCGGTCGGTCCGATTGAAAAAAAAACCTACAAAAAAAATCACAAGAAGTCTCAGAATAGGACGCCCTGGTACCCCATGACGACGTTAAAAGTTAACATTCACATATTTGGATTAACAAAATACACAATATGCTATTCTGTTATTATGCTCATTTTTCAGATAAAAAGAATTATTTCAAGTGAAAAATGGTTTAACTAAGTCGATACTTTTTTCTTTGAAAATGCCCAAAATTTGGGTCGGTCGGACGACGCTAAAGGGAGAAAAAAAAGAGGATGGCCGAAACAAAAAAACAAAAACATAAACATGTACCTGCGCAATAGCCTGTGTACAACCGCATGGCTGTACACAGGCTACAAAAACAATCAATCGGTAAAGTTTGACAAAATTCTTTTTCGACTTAGTCTGTCACCGTTAAATCCCAACAATGATGAACACTGAACAGATATGCTCTTAGAGAGATCAGGATATGAAAATTTGTAAGAAATCGTAGTCTGCGAGCAAGCTCTACTATTTGGCGAGTGAAGCAAGTCCCGCGAGAACGCGCGAGCTAGCGGCGAAGGCGCGAGGGGCCCCTCGCTCGCGCGTTCTCGCGAGGCTCACTTCGCTTGCCCAAATAGGAGAGCTTGCTCGCAGGCTAAAGAAATCGTATCACCCGGAGCTGAGTATACAGCTGACAAGGTTTCCTACTCTACTTCAAGTTATTTTTGCACTTGTCGTAACTATCTGTTCCGTTTCCGTCTATATCTCTCTTTTTTGTGAAATTTAGATCAATGAAGGAAGCCAGTATTGCAGTAGCTGCGGCGAACAAATGGCAGCGTATTTCTGTTTCATATGCAAACATTTTACCGGGGTGGAAAAGAACCCATTTCATTCCGATAAATGTGGTATTTGCAGGTACGTTATTGCGGATAGGAGTTCTGATACTCAGTTACAACCATTTTCAACTGTTCCTTTAGCTTTCTTTAGAAGTTGATTTATTAAGGCCCAGGCCAAACGTCGAACTTCTCATAAACTTAACTCACTAAGTTTGGTTCGTCTCATGAAAAGTTCGACGTTTTGCGTAGGCCTAAGAACACAAAAATTTGTCACCTCTTCTAAAATAACACCGGCAATATTCAAAGGACTCAAGGGACAGCTTAAGAAAAATCAGTCCTTCTTTCTCGTTGTTCCGTTAGTTTTGTAGAGTCGTTAGTTGATGGCCTGAAAACCAAAGGAGGTGATTGCATTTTGAAATAAACTTTCTAGCTAAACCTAGACACGACTTCACTCATGTGCGTAATGAGGACGTGTTTGCGACTGCAAATTCATGTGATCACGTTGATAGCATTGGAATTTTTTTCTGCACTAGAGAAAGAGCATAACGATTATTGGCTCTGTAAGGGTTTCATTTACGTAAAACTGAAGAAAATCTATCAATATTTTACGTTTTTTGTCTTTAACAGTACCCAAAAGGACAAATCGTTTCACTGTGATGTTTGCAACGCGTGTCTGGACAAACGACTTGAAGAGAAACATAAGTGCAGGCTCAATTTCGCACGCGACGAGTGTTGTGTATGTTTAGAGGTAAGTGAAGAGCCACTATTAAAAGTGGACTGATAAGCAACCTCGTTCCCAGGGTCCTCTCCTACCCGTCCCTTGGAACGAGGTAGACTGGTAAGGTGGCACGAAGACTTGAGGTACACCTGCGACAGTAATGCATTTGTCGAATAGACGAACATTGTCTCGTTGCTAAACTTCCATGAAGTTTGCAACGAAGTCGGAAATAAGTGACGTACGGAGACTGAGCTGTGTTTTGTTTGATTTGGTGGAACGACAGTGATGTGAAATGAGCGATGGTTAATGGGTGTTTGTAGGTGTTAAATTCCCCGTTATCAGTATCCATGGTATCGGTATTGCCAATGACAGGTGGTGCATAAACATTGACTGCTTAATATCAATTAAAGGTAAAACCTTTATGCGACTGCCCGACAGCAATAACCCAGGCAAAGAGAAGGTAGCGCATGCGTGCTGTTCACCGACAGCAAGCTTGTCGAGAGAGGATTCGACATGTTTCCGTTGTAATTAAACCAACTTTCTGTACTTTATACAGGAGGCGTTCAGTGGCTGTCAGATCCTGCCATGCTCTCACAAGGTCCATAAGGAGTGCGCCATTGCTATGATTCAGAACGGAGTGTAAGTGACCAACAGCAGTAGATATATATAAATAAATAATAAGCAATAATGATTTCTAGGTTGCACGTCTAAATAGTAGTTTTTCCTCTGCCAGGCCATTTCTTATTGACTTGGAGTTTGGAAATGTTGTTTTCGGGAAGATGGAAATAACCGGAGTACCAAGAAAAAAAAAGGCGTGCACCAAAACTCAACCTCCTATAGCGGGCCGCGCCTGCTTTCACCACTGCGCCGCCTCGAGTAAGGAATTTAGCCCCCCTCCCACCCCCCATTTCCCCTTTCAATCTCCGCAACCTATGCCACTTCAAGCCTGAGACAGAAGTGATTCAGGTAATTTATTCTTAATGTAATTTTGTTTGCTTCTCTCTGTGTTTCAGACGAAACTGTCCGATATGCCGTCATCCTTTGTTTAGCCAAGACTCACAGTAGAGATGAAGAACCAAAGAAAGAACGTTAGGGTTGATGTCCACTGTCACGTACTTTTAAGGGAATTACGCGCGAAAAATTTACGTTCGCAAAAAAAAAAATAGAGGCAATGTATGAAAGGTCGCACGTAAGCGTAAAAGTAGAACCTCGCTCAACCTCAAGTTTAATCTCAACACTTTATATCTTGCCTCTATTTCATTTGTGATTAAAATTTACGTGCATTAATATGCGTAGCCAAAAACGCCTCAGTGAAAAGCAACCTTTAGTAGTATAGTAGGGACCGAATTAACCGGTTTTTTTCATGGATTTATTTAATTTCTGTGTTGAATACATCAACGCCGATGACGTCATAACCTTTTGTCTTTATCTCATGAACAAATTGTGGCGGATTCTCATTAAGATTCATTAAGATAAGGTCATGTGCTATTTTAAAGTGGTTTCACTGGTCTGACAGGTTTTCGGTAAATTTCTTGGTTTTCTATTGTTTGATTAGAAAATATGGAAAGTTTTCGTTAGTTTATTCATGGTGTCTGAGGAATAAAGTCAAACTCGCATGTGACTTACAATCACTGAGCCGTAACGTAATTCTGCACGTTCTATTTTCTACCGCTGTCATTGACCTAGTTCCGATTCACTTATTGTGGGGGGGGGGGAGCAAATCGTGCATATTAATGATGGCAAAGGCAAACTAGTTCTTTTTAGTACGAAGGACAATGTTTTACTTATCTCACACCCGTCCTACTCTTCCACAATTAATTTATTTTCCTGTTCCAATTTTCCTTTTTATTTTTATTTTCCCTCGACCGCATCGACCCTACATCGATTCCACATTGACCCTGCATCGACCTTTTGTATTAACACAATTTATTTGTAATGATATCAATCGTGAAAAGTGACATTTTTACACCACCCCATTTCTAATGTTTCCCACCTCATTCTCCTCATCATTTTTATCGTTTTCATTCCTTCTCCTTCTCCTCCTCCTCCACATTTCTATTGTCTTAATTCCCCGTAGCATTGTTTATTATGCTGTACAAGGTGGTTTTTAACTTGAAATCCTAAAGGCGGTGAACAGTACCTTCCTGTAGTGCTTTTTATTATACAGCAAATAGTAAATCGAACGTTTAGGTCCATTGATGAAATCTGTAATTAAATGTAAGCATTAAAAGTTAAACCACTGGGCTTGTAACATTTTTTTTTTGTTATGTTAAAGTGTCCTCTGATCTCAAATATTCGCCTACATCAGCTTGATGGAAGCAGATTATATCAGTGGGGTTGGCCCGTCGACAATCCTGTGTTGAACGAGCTGTGGCACCAAATCCCTGTCAAAGAAAGTAAGCCCCATAAGCCACGACATAATCCATAGTTGTGGAAGATAAAGGCTGCACTAATAAACCCTGTAGCTATGAAATCCAGGGTGCCCATCAAAAATAGGTTTTATCAACAGTTTTTGCATTTTACACCCTACCAGTGCTGTGCACACTATAAATACAGACTGATCTGACTCGATGGCAGCGTGGCTGAGCAGATGAGCCCGAGTTAAAGTACTGCCCTGGGCCCAGTTGTTCAAACGCCAGTTGGGGCTAACCTGGGGTTAAATTTTAACCCAGGTTTCTTTTTCTTGTTATCAAAAGCACTTTCTGGGATACTTTTCTCTATTCTTTTTAGAATATCCAATCATCAAATTGTAGGTAAAGAAAATTAAACTGAATTTGCTTTTCAAGCTCCCACAGTTGAGTTCAAATTTCGCATTAGCCCTGGGTTATCTCAACCCAGCTTCGAACAACCCGGCCCTGACCGCTAGCTGGATTTGTTCTCGTTAGCCCTGAGTTCAAATCCTCTGCCAAGCTTGTAAAATAGCCAGCTGGTTCGCCTCCTACCAGTTATGTTTCTTTTGAATTATTTGTTCCATTATCCCCAGAGAGGATAATTAAGTATTTATTAATCATCATTATTAATGGTCCTGATTTATATTACTTTATGACTGAACTGGTCTGCGTGGCTACTATTGACTGCAGGTACCAAAGACAGATTACATTAAACAGAAGAAACTATAGAACCAAACAATACTAGTAAACCTCCCAAGGAAATTTTATTGTCTGGTTTCTTTGTTTGTTTCTGCTGTTCTAACAGTACCTGCAGAAGCTATACAAAGTGAATAAGTTCTTTAGAAAGTGCAAACTAAAGGTCATATGTAAAACTCCAGGCATATGTGGAGCCAGAACTATAACAAAAATGGCAGTATTCTCCACTGAATGCATTAGACCAGTATTGCCCACAGAGCCTCTGTAATTTTTGTCCAACAGATGGGGCAACAGATGCTCTTGAGGAATCTAAACCAGAACCACAAAATCCTGGTTCCAGTCTAATTGTGTTGTGTAAAATTGTTTACCCATTTGACCAAGAGAAGTTTTCAAGGGAAATTTCCTTGCCCGCACATAGTTACAATTTACTCTTTCCAAAGCAGTTTTTCTTTCTGTGAACTATATCGATGTATTTAGTGGAGAAAGACAAGTAACATGAAAGGACTGTGTAAGGAGACGGAAAATGAACATTTCTTTAAATGCGGCAAATGAACATTGGTTAGTGATGACGACACACATTCTCTCGTGCTCAGAATGAGCACAGCTGTGTGTAAATTTGAAAGGTTCAGTAGCATAAATGAATAACATCTCCTAAAAAAAAAACATTGAAATGACGTTCAAAAATCAGAAAAAGAAACTTTTTGAACACAATGTCATTGTAGCGTGATTTCGGAACTTATCGAGGTAAACGTTTTTCTTAACGATTTCAAGTCGTATGAGATTTGTGTGTACACAAATGACCTGTCAAAATCAAATCAACATGCTCACAGGTTTTTGATTAGCAAAGAAATTTGCATGTGATTAACAAGATTTTATCGGCCAATCAGAGATGTTTTTTTTTAATTCTTCCAGAGGTTAGTGTTCCTCATCGCTGTACAAAGGATCGTGGCCTCTGGGAATGAGATTGGCATTAGACTGTGTTAATTCTCTTGAAAGGGGGGCCTTTTTTAATACTGAATATTTGTGTGAACCCGGATTATAGTACAGCCATAGGACTACATTTTACTTATAAAGTGATTGCATGTTAGTGAAGAGAAGTGTAAGCTGCATTTTGAAGCAAGGGTGAGAAACACTTATTCTTGAGTTCAATTCACTTACCAGTGGAAGATCATTCATGGAGTAAACAATAACACCTTGATATTGTGGAGTATTTTCTGTTATTCTTCCTAATCCAGACTTCAAAATGTGATTTCCATATAGAAATGACTGCTCCCCAGATGGTTTGACCCATATTTTATACTGAGAGGTAACAAAACAACATTACACTTTACTGTTATTTTGCTGGATAAGCCTAGAATTACAGATTGGGTTTTTGTTCCCAACTCATTAGAAAAATTCCATTGTGAGTATAATTATCATAATTATCATTATTGTACATTCAAAATATTGTTCAGTTTCTGGTTGGCTAAAATCCTACACATAATTTATCATAACCAGCTACTATTGACCAAATTTGGAAGGATTTTGCAATATGTGAAAAATGATGTCAATTGTGGATTATAATGCCCAGAAAACTGAACGGTTAACCAAGAAGACCAGGGGACAACGTTGAGTTGTTTTGGTAGTGAGTACAATATGGCAGATTCACAAGGAAGAAATAGGCAACTATTGGCTAAAAACGTAGCACGAGTAGCAAGAAGACAACTCGATTAGACGACATCTGCTATTTGGAGACTATTTATAGCAAAACCGAAAAACAGTTTATCTCCTAGACTTGCTGATAAACACATACTATCGAAGACCAACTAGGAATTATTTTGAATGAATAGTAAAACAATAATAATTTTTTAATACATTTATTGTAAGCTGAATTCAATGATTATTATTGAATTCGGCTTACGCATCATCTGAAGAATTATGGAGATCTTGGAGGCTGTTATCTGCCAAGGCTGGTTTAACACCCTCCCCGATCTCCATAATTCTTCAAATGATACTCAGCCTCATCAAATAATTGCTAATTAATACTGTAAATCTTCTATTAAGCCCCCCGAGGAGCTTATTTTTTCAAGCACTTTGAGGGGGGGCTTATTTAATTTAGCGAAATGCATCGATGGGAGCAAGGTTTCTCGAGGACAGACTTGTGGTTACCAGATGCTATACTGCTTTTTCTAACAATAAGAAAACGGTAACAATTCTCCACAGAGAACTAAAGCATAAAAGAGGTCATGCAGCCGAAGACCAATATGAATTTCCAGCCTGAATAGATCATAACCATCAGTCCACATTAATTTTTTGTGAAGAATAAGGATGGAGGGGAGCGGGGGGCTTAATAGAGAGGGGGGCTTAATAATTATTTATGGTAATTATTGAAACTGTGGCATTCACTTTGGATTTAAGTTTTAGGTCTGTGGCACAATATTATAAAAACAATAATAATAATAACAATCATCATCATCATCATCTGGATAAGTGCTTCAGAATATTGGAATAAGGGTAAGACCTGGGAACATACAGAAGGCCGCGTTACTAGAAACTGAAACAATACTACAGAGAGTTCTTGAGACTTGAGAGGTGGCCAGACCCTCGAGACTCTTGGTTACCAGCTATAACCTGCTCCAAGGAAGTTTTCTGGTTGACTAGCAGAACTAAGTTTCATTATAGATCATAATAATAACACCAGAAACAATCATGAAACAAAAAGAAAAAAAAACAGGCTTACCTTAGCATATGGTGCCATGAAGTCAAGAGCAGTCACATGAAGTCTGAATCGTTTTGTCTTTGTAAACTTGCCAATGCAGGTTCCCACGCTTATGAGGTTCTCCCTTGCAATATTTGTCGCCTTTCTCATGATTTGCTCGCTGCAAGATAATAAAAGAGGTATTAAAAACACAGAGCTTGGGTGCTGGCACAAGCCATAAAGCAGGGTTGTCAGTTAGTTTTGAAGAAAATTTTAACCTAGGCCCAGTTGTTCAAAGGCCGATTAGTGCTACCCCAGGGTTAAATTTTAACCTGGGTTCTTTTTCTTTTGTTCAAAAGCATTTTCCTGGATAAGTTTCTGTCTTATAGAGCATCCGATCATCAGATTGTAGCCAAAAAGAGTAAACCTGAGTTTGCTTCTCAAGCTTTCATGTCTGAAATCAAGTTTCACACTAGCCCTGGGTTAACTTAACCCTGCTTTGAACAACCCGACCCTGAACTTTATTTTGACCTGTAACATATATACATTTGTCATGTTGTCGCATAAACTCATCATCATGCCAAATGCCTTAAAAAAATGCACAGCTACTGCCAACATTATTTTGATGTCTTTTAAGGAGAACTCTTTTAAGAAACCATGTCATAGGTGCCAACTTAAGTTAAACATTTTTGATGGTTATTAAACCTTAGGCCTGTGTCAAACCTCGTGCTACTGCCGTGCTAAGCTGGCTCGACTGTAGCTCGACTGCAGCACGACACTAGCACGACTTGGTTTCAGACGTCGAATTTAATTCAGTCGAATAGAACGGTTGTTGCCGAAAACATAACAAAAAAATATTGAAATGGTTTAGCAAACTTTAAATGTATTCTAATGTATTTATAATTTATGAATTGAGTTCGGAACCAAGTCGTGCTACTGCCGTGTAGCACAGCAAGGCTTGCCGTACTACACAGCAGTAGCACGACTTGGTTTCAAACGTCGCGCTACTGCCGTGCTAAAGTCGAATTTAATTCGAGCAACTGAGTTCGGCACGGCAGTAGCACGACGTTTGAAACGGGCCTTAGGGAAGTTTAATTAAAACGTGTAAATGTCAGAGCTCCACAGTTTTTTAAATTACATAGTTCTATTTATCTAAAAGATAAAAATTTCAACCTACCTGACATAGAAAACTCGTTCTTCGTGAAGTCTGAAACAATAATTTCCATCTGGTCTATCTATGAGAAGTTTGATGTTGTCTCCAATACTAAAAAATCATCGTGGAAGAAAAAAACTTTTAAGCTTGGAAAATGCAGATTTGTTTCTGCAGCTTCAAGAAAATTAAAGAAAGTTTACATGCGTTTGAAACGATCAAGATAAACAACATGGACTATCAATCACGCCACTTACTATTTTGCTAGTTTTTCAAATACGCTGCGTGTTTCTTCTTCAGTTAAAGGCCTCATTTTAACAAAAAGTCTGTTTATATTTGTGGAGGATTTTCACGTGCTTGCTTCGTTCGTCTCTACACGAGACTGCAATCTGTCAGCGGCTTCAACCAAAAGCCAGGTTACCTGACACAGGTTCCACTTGGTTGCCCATAGCAACGTTGTTAAAGGGCTTCAAATTCCAAAACATAATGGTGTTACATGTGGGAAAGGCAAAAGATTTCCGTATTCCACAACTCCATGAAGCTGGTTATCTGTACCACCTTATAAAATAATGATTCCTTTAGACAGCGCAACAGCCATATTGCCTAGAATGCCGACGGGAAGGGCTTTAGCCGCGGAGTTTCAACTGACAATTATCAAGCCTCCGCTACTGGATACAAAATGCAGGTCAAATTCCCCAGCGGTTTCCAGCCCAATCTATCGACTGCTACAAAGTAGAAATCGACGAAGAAGCAGTTCGGCATCTTCCGTGCAAAGTACTCTTAATAACACGATTGAATCCACGGAATTCGTGACGGAAAGAGTTCAAGTTTTTGAATTGAGAGACTCATCATGTCAACGCTCAAATGTTGACTCCGTTTCGCATCAGAATCGAAACCAAAATACAAGTACATTGCGTGACAATATAGTAAGTTACTGTCAAGAGGAATCCCCGACTTCTCGGCGAAACAGTTCAATGGAATCAGTTAAAGAACGTTCTATTTCAATAAAAGAACAATCTTCAGGTGAGATTCTAAATTTAATAATGGTTGAGGTTATACAATGCATGATATTTTATAGCAAACTATTGCCCAGTCATTGTTTTGAGTTGCACTGAAACGCACCCGGAAGTTTTAGTTTTCCTCTTTCAATGTGTTCTGAAACCATTACTCCATGCATTTAATAATGAAATCTTTTATTCTGGGAAGTCAACATTCTTGTAGTTGAATTTCATTTGAAGGTTGGCAAAACCCAGACCAGTGTCCATGGTTTTGGAGTTTGACAATGAAACTTTCTGGTGTCACTGTTGTGATGCCATTGCCAGAAATCATGGCAATCATCACGCAAATCACTATTTTTGTCAACCCAGATCCCAAGTTGGTGCATTTGTTCCCAGCTATGTGAGAAAGCTTGAAAAGAAAATTTTACCTTGAGGATTGGGAGGAGACATGGAAGGAGGAGTATTATTTTATGGTTTCTCCTAAAAGGTCATACCTCAGTCATGATTTTCTTTCTTCGATTCTTTCTGCTGTAGCCTGCGAAAGCATCCATTTCTCCTTCGCTCTACGCCGCTGGGGACGTTTCCTCCTCGCGAAACGTCCCCAGCGGTGTAGAGCGAAGGAGAAACGGATGCTTTCGCAGGCTATTTCTGCTATGGACATGAATTTTCCTTCAAGTAAAAGATACTGACCGGCTTTCTTATCAATAATTTTAGAATTAACACCAGACCTCAGTGATGAAGATAGTAGACAGCAATACAATTTAACAAACTTGACACCAGAAACCCAACAAGCAGATAATCCCCTTGTTATAGAAAAGAAAGCACAAGAAAAGTCAGAGAAAAGGAATAAAAAGAAATCATTAAAAGCTAAGAAAACTAATAAAAAAAGAAAAAATTCTCCTAAGAAAGGTGTTGCAGTGAGTGGTATGTTTGCAAGACTGGTTGGACGTGGGCGTACAAATGAACAACAAGGTAACTTAATATAAATGTAATAACTTTTAATTACCCATTTTATTCAGGGTAATAAGTAGTCATATTTAACTTATCCTGAAGGAAATGCCAGATTTCTCTATAAAGAGAACTGTCAACCATAAGACAACATACATGTATGATTTCTGCATTTTACATGTTCTGTACATGTAAAGCAGCTCATTAACTAAGGCAAAAATTACAGCCCTCAGAGCATTGATTGTTGTCAGATATGTCATATAAACCAAGGATGTATAAAGATACAAGACTGGTTCCAAAAGTTGCAGCATTGTTAAACTTTTATTTCAAGTCTTACCACTACAACCTACACATGCAGGTACAGTGATAACATTTTTAACAAGAATATTTTGTGTATTTTTAGGCCATCAAGTCAACTCAGATCAAAAGGTGAAAAATGGACTACATTTACAACAGACAAGAGACACTTCCCCAAATAAGTACCTAAGTGTACAAAAACTCCGAGCAGCTTATGCTCCAAAGAAACAAGAAATCAAGAACAACAAAGCAACTGTTCTTTTACCATGGGTCTCTAACACTAGCTTAACTAATGACAACACAAGGAGTTGTACCTGTTCTCCAAGGAAACAGGAACAAGAACAAGAAAGCATTTCTACTGCTCTGTATCTATCATCCCCATGTAAACTACTGAACTCTCATGACGACAACAGAGTGAAGAAAGTTTATCTATCTGAGACCCATTCTGGAATGATCACAGGGATACCATGTGCCCCGCCCAGTACACCCACTGTGGGTATGTAGTGCTGCCTTATTGTTAACAAACGGTACTAGTTTGTGAGTTAGTTAGAATTTGTTTATTTAAGCTTCAATAATACCCAATGTTCAAGTATTTAACAACCAAACCTCTTCCTATAAACACCTCCTGTTATAAAGACAGACACTAATGACTTTGTCTCTTTGGTGTCCATACTAAGGAAGTTTGACTCTCTCTTAATGGACACAGTTAAGGACACCTGTCTTATATGGACACCCAGAGATGGTCCATCCCTATCTTTAATTTTGGTGAACATCTCCCTCAGACAGGCACTTGACAGGTTTCAGAGGCATCAGTCTAATAGAGAGCCGACAAACTATATTTTCAAGCTTCTAATACAAAATGATACAAATAAGAAAAAACCTTACATATTTTAAAATTCTAACCTCCAATCCTACCTTAGACCATCAAGGATATATCTATTGCTCCACACTTGGGCCAATAAAATACAGCAAGTAAAAAGTCTATCTGTGTGAGAAAATATAAGAAACAGTTGGCATTATTATTTTGCAGTCATAACATATTATACAGCTGTACAAAGAAAAAAAAGTATATTCAGTGTACACTTGTTACATTATTCCTGAGTGTTACAATTCAACTACCCTGTACTGGTAATTTTTCCTAAATATTAAAACCTTTAATTCATATTATTTTATTTTTATAGATGAACTTAAGAAAGTGGAGTACATCCCATCCCTGACAGATGTCAAGGTCAGCAAATAAATTATTGCATATATATACTGTCCATGTAAATAATATGGAACTACAAAAAAGCATAAAATAATCTGATGGAACAAATAAACAACACACTGGTAAATAAATCTGTATATTTACAACAATTTTTTACTTTTATATAAAATGTGCACAACATCAACATTTCAATGTTTTCTTTCAGAGCCAGAGAGCTGTAAAATCAAGACTAATTAACTTAGGTAAGTCGGGACAAGAAACAAACAGAAATGTATATATCTTGAGATATTCTAGGTCAATTAAGCATGAAAAATAAATCATGCACAATGATAAGAGTTTAGACAAATGTTATCCATCTCACCGGTCAATTTGCAGCAAAGCATGTTTTTCAGCTCTTGCACTCCTTTTACTACCTCTTACTTGATGGAAAAATCTAGGGGGCTGTTTTTCATAGTCTGGAGATGATCAGAATAAAAAGAATAAAAATCGTAAATAAAAGTTACCAAAACCAAGTTAAGCTACTAATTTCTACAATTCACTATTTTAGGAAATAAATTAAGGGCACAAGAGCAGAAGAAGAAAGAAAAAGCTATGAAGGAAGAACAAAGAAGAGCTTATGGCGAAATTTTACAGCTGAAACAAAGACAACGAGCTGAGGTAAAACTGAAGTTTTTTCTTGATCTCAAAACCTTTCCACAATGGCCATTTTAGGGACAGAAGAAAGTGGCCTTTATGAAGAGATGATAAAGAGGTGGCCATTGTGAAGTGGATTAAACAAAAAGAGTTGTACATGAATGGATTATTAATTTTGCATGCCCAGCGCAACTAAAAAAGTGGCCATGGCGGAGAAGTGGCCATCAGTGGAGATTCGGCTTAATGTCCATTATATGCATTCTTCTTAATAAGTTGATAAATGAACATAGGATTAATACATTATGTTGAATTTATACATTTAATTTGCAAGGATAATTTTTTTTCATTTTTTGTGATCATTTTCCATTTTGCTCCAGTATAGCTTTAAAAACAGAACACAAAAAATCCCCCAAAAAAGCTAAATGAGGAGATCATTTTTTGTCTTTTCCCCTGTAATAATTTGTCACATGATATCAATCTTCATATCAGCCGCGATTTATATAAGGCAAAGTCTATGAAGGACATCCAAATTTATGTTGTCGTTATTTTTTTGTCTCGCTTATTTTTTATTTTTCCATTGTTTTTGCATATGATAATGTATGCTAATGAATTTGAAACAAAGGGAAAACGTTTGTTGCTTGTGATTGTAAAAATGATTGACGGCAGCATAAAAGGCAACTTTAGAGTTTGCGTGTTTGTGAAAAGCGCAGTGTAATAGAAATAAGGAAAGTCGCTAAATGAGAAAGGCTAAAAACATGTTTGGGAGAGACATGTCAGGCTTTTCAGATCGTTCATGTGGTTTTGTGTGCTTTTTCCCATGCATCTCAGAGGCTCAAAAATTTTGCTGTACTAATTACCTACAACCTTGACTACAAGTCTCTGATTTTATTCTCCAGTCCCTGTAATAATGGAACACTTTTTACTTCATGACACTTTTTTAACATTTATAACTGGATTCCTTTGACAGATCTATGCTTTAAACAAGGTGATGACAGAACTGGAGAATGAAAACTTCAGGAAGTTCATGGAGGAAAAATCAGCAGAAACACTTCCTGTATAAAAGTTTTGAACCCTTTTACAAGATAATAAGCAAAGTTTTGACCCAAAAAGTTGAAGGGAAGGAAATCCAATGTAGGTGACTACAAGTCGAAAATGGGCCGGGGAAGATATCAGCTATTTTTAGATGTACATTTATATTTATATTTATATCCATAGCTATTTAAATAGTTTAAAACAAAAATCTAGTATTCACTTTCTTGAAGAAAGAAGTTTTATGACTTGTCAGAAAGTCAGATCATACAGTTTTAACATAATGTCCTTTTTTATGTCACAATTCAGAGGCCTTGTGGAGAGAGCCAGTGTCCACATCTGAATATAAGAATTAGTCATAGGCTATCAAGCGGTAACAGGGGACTGTAGAATGGTTCCCAGAAAAACGTGGGTGTCAGAAAATTATCTGATCTCCAGTGCCTGATGAACACCCTGCCAGATCCCAAAAATACTCTCCCAGACCCTGTTAAGGTGCATGCAGAGCATGTTATTGACTTCAAGCGTGGTGAATCATCACCATGACAACATGTTGTCTTGCAATACAGTTTATCAGTTTACAGTTGACTCTCTCATAACAGACACCTTTATAAGACAGACACCTCTGTAAAATGGACACCCAGATTTGGTCCTTGTCTTTCTTTACATTCTGTAGACTCCCTATAAGATGGACATCTCTCTAAGAGGAACACTTAGTACCAGTCGCAAAGGTGTCTGTCTTAGAGAGAGCTGACTGTAAAACTGAGCTTATTTGTAAAAATGATGAATATATAATAATGGGAAACATGTTGTTTGAAAATTCAAACTGGGACCAATCCACATCCCCTTAATGTACTGTAGCTCTTGCAGACTGTCTAGTCATCCCCTGAGAGGGGATGACTACTTGTGAGGCCCTCTTTGGGGGGAGGGGTTATGTATGTCCCTAGTCTGAACTCAATATTTTCAAAAGCTGTCGTTTCAGCATACTGAGGAGGAAGCCATGTCGCTTTTCTCTGTCACTGTTACAGTTTCAACCCATTTTTGTGCCGTTTGTCGCCATTTCTACTGTCCTGTGTCGTTATGTCAGGGCCATGTCGCTTGTTGGAATTTTACCCTAACACTACAGGGCCTCACTTGTACACAATTGCTTACAAATCATCCATGACACCTAGAAATCTTTGCATATCATTTATAACTAGGTAGGCAATTACTGTATTGAAAATAAACTCAATATTAGACTGTTTGTTGGAGTGCACTGTTCATTATTATGATGATATTGCAGTACTTCTGGTATTTAGAATTTGCAGTGTGCCACACAAGTATGTGTGCATACTCAAATTAACGCATGCATGTTGAAAGTGAGACCTAGAGACTACAAAGATATTTTGTAGTTTTTTAGATCCCTTCTTCCTCCAATAAAATAGGCTATTATGAGCTACTATCAATACACTTTAACGTTTTATTGCGATATAAGAACAATCGATAGCTTACCGCAAATGTTTCCTGCAATGGTCTGTGACTCTCAACGTTCAAATTGCGACTTTTATATTCCCGGGTAAATTTAGCAGAAGGCGCGAATTTCTAACAAAGAACGTCATTGGACAATACAAAGACAGGAGGCCTGGTCGCTAGGAAAGGAACCAATCATAGAAGGCGATATAATTTGACAATTCACTCTTCTTGTCCTCTACCAACGCCCCTGACCACAGCCGGACATTACCGAAATATCGCTGGCAATAAATGTGGAATTTGAGGAAAGTTTAGCCTCAAAGTCTAATCCACCGCTTGTAACCCTGTGGAAACCTTCAAGTTACCTTTGGGGAGGTAAATTTTTTTGATTTTCACCTATTCTAACTTATAATTTGTTGTGAGAGATTCGACATAGATGATGAGGTACTGACTTAAATATAACTTAAATTTTGGAGCATATATTATGTGAGCTGGGATTTTTATTGTTCTAAGTATTTTTTATATATTTATTTGGCACCGATCCTATTCAAAGACACAGGTAAATTGAAAAGCTTACGCGGAAGGATCTAGAATTAATATGCTACTGCAAAACCCTGTTGCAAATTTTGCATGTAATTCTAGAGCTAAAGGGAACTTGATCTTAGCTTTTTGTTCTCTCTTTGGAATGCGTCGATCACGCTTTATTCTCGAAGTTATAGCGCTTCGATACCTTTCATAGTGTTCTTAATATACTCTTGATTCGAATATTTTCGAAGTCAGCGAGACTGTAAAAGAAAAATAACCCTACTTCCTTATCGCTTCTAGAGAGAAGGATGTATTTAAATTATCATCAGTTTAAAACACTTTCCCACAACAACACGTATAGCCTGGCTGGGATCTGATCTGGCTTGAACGTGAAGAGTTTTACAAAGTCCAAAGCCCAAGTTTAACACCAATTCGGATTTTCTCTATTATTATAACCAGGACCTTGTTCCAGAGGATGTGGTTAGAAGGAGAGTATGTTTTGGAAATTTTTAAAAAAAGTTTCTTTGTTTTTAAGGTCATTTTGAGTGGCCAGCTGGAGAAAATGTGAATATGGTAAACAGCCTTAAAAATCTATTTCAGAGGGCCAACATAACATGGTTGTAATTTCACTGCCTATGCAAATATCATTTTAACAGGTGTGCTCCAGAAACCTTTACTGGTGTTGATATATCATTGTTGATCTATATTATTGAGGATGATCTATTCCTACCTAAACTCAGAATTCAAATGCTGAAAATAATAAAAGGCAGATATTGCAGAGTACTTTCACTTGTAAAACTTTCCACTTGTTCAACAGTAATGAATGGTATCTGGTCACCTCGTCACCAAACCATCTTGCCACCAAGAAATAGATAATCTTAATACTTATCGAAAGGACAAGTCGATAAAAAGAATTCTTTCACTTTACAATGAAATACAAGGAGGCAAGATTCGAGTGACCACACTAACCAACTTTTATAAGAAAGGTTGTTTGGTTTTGAACAAATGGCACCTCTCAAGCGATGCCATTAAGCCATATTAAGGTGTTAAAAAGTTGGAATAATAATTATTCAAACAAAAAAAACAGCTTAAGATGAGAAGCTCGACATAAGGTGTCAATTAAAATTGATAAGGTTTTATTTGGGAAGAGTTATTATGTGTTGGTGAGCAGATCTTTTGGTGGAGAGATGACGGTCCGTAAACATGTCATTATACTTCTTTGTAGGTTTTGTCAATACTGTGACAGGGAGTGTAAAGGTTGTTGTAACATCCTCGAACCTGGACAAGGAGGATAGAGATCATTATAATATCCTAAAAGAAATATGCAAACCATAAAGTGTGTAGTGGTTGGAGATGGTGCTGTAGGAAAAACGTGTTTACTGATATCCTACACAACAAATAAATTTCCAAGTGAATATGTTCCAACGGTAAGCGAGGCATTTTTATATAATGATAAGTTTAACCCACCCAACACCATACAAAATGGTGACCTTCCTTAAACTTGAATACAGTCTTGAACCTCTCTCTACAGACACCTGCTTAAATACGGATATGTCATTATTATGGATAGTATCCATTGCATCAGTCTTTACAGTAAAAAAAAATTCAACCCACTTAATACAGACACCCTGTTAACATGGACACTTTGCCTTGTTTTGAAAGTGGCATGTTCAGTTCTTTCTCCACTGTCAGAGTAAGAAAAAATTTTTCTTATCTACCTGTCCTTCTGGCAAGCACTATTTTACATTTGGTTCTCCTAAATCCAAGAGGTTTTGTCCAAAAAGTTTTGCTTGAAACTCAAGAACAATTGATCATTTAATGTCTTTAATCACCCTATTATCCTTGTAAATTATTTTTTATTTAAACCTGAAATGGAGAGCTCATAAAAACAAATGAAATGGCTGCAGAATTGCAAAGTTTAAAAAAAACATTTTAATGTTAGTTTGTCAAGTATGAGGTTTGCTTTTATAACTATAAGATTAATTCTCTTATAATTTGAAGTCAATTTTCAACTGTTTCTGAATTTTGTCTTCTTAAAAATGTGCTTGTCCCCACAGACAGGTCATGTTGAAGTTTTTCTTGTCCAAACTAAATTTTTACCTGTCCCGGACAATCAGACATAGGTTTTGGCACACCCTGAGTATTGAGCAACTGCTGGGAAGCTTCGAAATCTATTCGGTTCTCGTCACTTCTGACACACTAAGACTAATGTAATGTTTAATCACATTTACATAGCTGAAAGGATTTTTAAAGATGTAGAATATTTTTGTTTACCAGGTGTTTGATAATTATGCAGTCACTGTGATGATTGGTGGAGAGCCTTTCACATTAGGACTGTTTGATACTGCAGGTAAGAGTATATGACAGCATATAAAACTTTCTGTATGCATCTATCATGGCTGGCATTAAGGTTTTCAAATTGCAGCCCGTCAGAATTTTACATAGTGGTCAATTGTTAAACGAATTCACTTGTGACTGTTGTGTTCTACCCGATTTCAAACTAAGGGTAGCTGGCCTTTCTTCGTACCAATTAATTTAAGGGCTAATTAATCTGACAAGCATGAAGTCTCAAAGGAATGCCAGGTCTATAGCTGAAAGATTTTTTTGATGTTTTCTAAGTCCTACACAACATTCATTGGCTGCATATGAATAAGCACTAGGTTTGTGAAGTTCTAAAAACACATCCAAGGCTTGAATAAACTGATGCCATGTCTGCAAAGCTTAGCAAAGATATTTGGGGGTGGGGGAAAGGGTGTAGAGATTCCAAGTTCCCAGCTATGCAGCATGCAAAGAAAGTCATGTCCGATAGTCCGGGGATAGTTGATTTTGCTTCCGGGCTAGTGAATTTTGTTCAGTTACTATGGGGTGGGGTAGGGGACTGAATAGCTCAGGAAGTTTTATTTTTGGAAGTTTTCCTAGCAATAGCCAGGGGAAGCCCCAGGCCCGTAGCTGCCCCTTGGTGATAGCCTTGGTTTAACTATGAAAAATGGAGAATGTTCTAAACACACCTTTTAGTTTTATTGACAGTGTTTTTTTTCTTCAACAGGTCAAGAAGACTATGACAGACTGAGGCCCCTTTCATACCCTCAAACAGATGTGTTCCTTGTGTGTTTTTCTGTGGTGTCGCCATCTTCATTTGAAAATGTTAAAGAAAAGGTAGCTGAGATTTATGATCGGTAGCTCTTTTGTCACATATAATGACGAGTAAAAATTGAAAAAGGCATCCAAATTCCTTTTTGTAAAATTCAAAGATATGAAGAGTACAATGAAACATAGTCTACAGTCAGTAACAAAGTAGTTGAAACACTATTCTCAAATGGAATGACTTCAGGGAACAAAACAGTCCACACCACTTCCCCATTCAAATTTGGGGTGATTGTTGTTTCTTACAGGTAAATGGAAGAGCAGCAAAACATCACATGGATGGGGGGTGGGAAGGAAAGCTTCATTTTCCCCTAACCCCTGAAATGCCCTTTTGGGTAAAGTGTCTCAACTAATTTTGTCACTGAATTTTGGTACAGAAACTTGTTAAGCTCTCATTATGTAGGCTTCTTGTGGTTTATGTCTGACTTACCTAGCTGAGAACTCGCCCTCAAGGCCCCCCCTCCCCCCCGACAATTATTTTTAGCTGTTTGTTGTAAAACAGTTATTTTGTTACCTCTGCTCTCCGCGTCCACGTCAGCATAAAAATCTCCAAAGGTGCAAAATAATTCATGGAATGTGTCCGGTAGGACGCAAAGATCAATTGATCAATCTGGACGTGTGTATTTGTAGAAATATCCAGCCTGTTCACGTAATTTCTGTGGCAGTTGTTATGGCCGTTGTTTAACGATGCATATTTCTTCTAGCCTTTGTTGTGCTTTAAAATAGAAGGACTATATTTTAATTTCAGTATACTGTAATACAGAGGTTTGGAGTCTGCCTTCAGATTAACTAAATCCGCCTTTTCTCAGCTTTATAACATTAGGAGAATTAGGAAGTATCTTACAAGGGACACCTCTAAGACGTTAGTACATGCCATGATTACAAGTAGAATTGATTACTGTAACAGTTTGCTGTGTGGACTCCCAGACAACTCTTTAAACAAACTTCAGCGAGTTCAAAATGCAGCAGCCCGGCTTATAACTGGAACAGCAAAGTTTTCTCACATAACTCCGGTGCTCCGCTCCCTTCACTGGCTTCCCATAAAACAAAGAGTTCAATTTAAAATGTTAATTTTAATTTTTAAAGCTATTAATCGCCTAGCTCCTAATTATATTAGTAATTTAGTTAACATTCTATGCCCTAGCAAATATTTGCTTCGTCGAAACAATGAGATACTATTGGAACCATACAATGGTAAAACCAAGAAAACGCTAGGTGACAGGGCGTTTGCCGTGGCAGCCCCCAGGCTTTTTAATTCACTCCCTCGTGAAATCAGACACGAGACATGTTTTAACACTTTTAAAACTAAGGTTAAGACTTTTTTGTTTCGCATGGCTTTCTGTTAATTTTATCTAATTTAATTGCTCATTATCTTATTTTTAATGTGGTGTAATTTAGTTCTGTATTATGTATTTTTAGTTTTTGTATGATGTATATAGTTTTCTTATTGCTTTTGTTTATAGTTTTTAGGTATCCTAGATGTAACGCGCATTTGATCATATTCGAATGTTAATTTGCGCGCTATAAGCAATAATATTATTATTAACTGTCTGGTTACATAAAGGCCCAAGCATTTTCAATTTGGTACTCATTGTTTTTGAATTGGGACTCATTGGTTCTGGACTGGGATTCATGATTTTTCACAAGATGAGTCCTAGGACTCACCATGACAATAATTTGTAACAAAATGACTGGTAAAAGTGCTGTTACTAATAGTTTTTTGGTTTTGTTTTCAGTGGGTTCCAGAGATTACCCACCATTGTCCGAAGACACCATTTTTACTTGTTGGTACCCAAGTCGACTTACGGGATGATGCAGGAACAATAGAGAAGTTGATCAAGAACAAGCAAAAACCCATCACTGTTGAATCTGCAGAAAAACAAGCACGAGAGCTGAGAGCTGTCAAATATGTAGAATGCTCTGCGTTGACACAAAAGGGCCTGAAAAATGTCTTTGATGAAGCAATCTTAGCAGCACTTGAACCTCCAGAGCAACCGAAGAAGAAAATTTGTTCTTTGCTTTAAAGAGTGGAAGATGTTCAAAGACGTACTCACAGTCAGGACCCAAAACTGAAAAGGACAGGCCTTGGATTAACCTTAAGCAGTACTGGTGAAGCTAACAGTATCTAGTAAACTTGTTACATGTACATTCACATCTGAAGTACTGGTTTTTCCAAGAGAAACATTAAGAACTTAAAAGATTTTTTGCAACTCTACATGAAAAGAAATCTTATAAATAACATCAAGCTACTTTTTACTGGTATTAAGTGTTTTTTTTTTTTGCTAGATTAGTTTTACACATTCAACTTTTTTCTACTATGAACAACTTTGAGGGCTGATGTTTTCATGATAGAAAATCAGCAGAATTTTTTTGTGTGAAAATTATTTGCAGGGACGTTGCCATTAAGTCAATAAGTATTGTATAAGCCCTGGGCTTACACTGTCTCAAGAGGTCTTTAGTGGCTGGTATATATTTGGAGGTAGGGGTTAAGGTCAGTAATTGGCCGAAATGTCTCTAAACAAGTCAATGCTGAAACATACTTTTATTTCACTGAAAGAAAATATTCAAAATTGCATGAAAAACATAGATTTGTTATTATTATTATTATTATTATTATTATTATTGTTATTATTACTTCAAGTGTAATAATACTAATAATAATAGTACTTAATAATTAGATAAAATAATTTTATTTTATTATTAAGTACTGTATTGTATTTTATTATATCATTACCTTTATTCTCATTATTTTTACCCTGTTCCATAGCAACCATAGTTCCACTATTCATGTCTTTTTGCTTGGTACTATCGCACTTTTTCAAGTTCTTAGTCGATGAATCCATTCACCCACTAACCAAAACTGCAGCTCGAAAGAGTGTGGTGTCTGTGCTGATCAGCTTAGTAAATCACTTAATCTTAAACAAGTTTTGGTCACACTAGCCAACCATCAACATTGATAATAAGCAGAAGGAAAGTGCTTCTGTTTTGTTTTAGAAAATTTTGGGATCTCGTATCACTTGTCTGGATCGAACCTTTGCTTGTATGGAATTATTGATACATTTTTTACCATAAAACAGCTTTCAAGTTATTGCCACTTGTATTTTATTCTGTACATACATATTAGAGTGTAAAATTAATGCTCTATCGTATACCTAGGATTATGGTAGTTTTTTAGGAGGAAAATTCATATGATGACTCAAAAAAGAAGATAACTTGGGCTGGTGAGGGTAGAATAAGATAACAATTACAAAATCAAGAGAGATGTTCTTTAATTCAGTGATTATTTAAATTATCTTGATTCAGCATGTACTTTTATCTTTGGTAAGTAAGCATGTTCCTTTTCTAGACTTAAAGCTTTCCTAATTCTGTTTGGTTCTTAGTAGTAGCTATTGGTGGATGTCGCATGTGATGCGATTGTAAACATCCCAGGGGCTTACTCCTCTGAGTTTGTGAAGATTTTTTTGTAAGGAAGTGAAAAGCCAAACAGTATCAACCTTAGATTTTTCTCTGGTGGATCTTAAATGAAAAGGAATATTTAGCTGTGTGTATATTGATAGATATTAATACAAGCAAAAATGCTTCCAAAATTTCAAATATTATCTACAAACAATTTATTATTATTATTGTAAGAGCAGTAAGATATATATTAAATTTTTACAACAGGCATTTTACACTAGTTTTGTATGCTGCGAAATGAAGGTCCTGGAGACTACAAAAATGTCATTGTTATGTTTGAGAATTAAATGCAAGAATTTATTAAAGAAGTTGTTTTAAATTCAGATAGTTCTTATTATAGAAGCTCAAAGATAGCCAGTAGCTATCCCTTGTTACCCTCGACAGTAACTAATAACAAGAAAGTATGGGTTACACCAAGGCCATTCCACCAGTCAGGGGCAGATCTCGGGGGAGGGTGCGGGGGGTGCGCACCCACCCCTGAGATGACCTGCGTTTTCTAATACGACTGGTATTCTGCAAAAAAACTATGTGGTTTATTGGTGTTGAAGTACAGCAAGAGATGAGTGCACCCCCTCCTGCCATTTATATGACAGTAACTACCTCGACAATAAACTTTGCTCCAATCCAAGTGTACAAAACAACTCGGGTTATTGGGTGGCATAGACCCAATGCAAAAAATGGCTGCTGGATTGAAGTTCTTCTGTCTGAATTAAAATTAACCCGACTTTAGCCTTGTTCTTTAGTACAAAGTTCAAAAGAGCACATTATCTCTATCGAGTCTAGTCAGGCTTATTTTAATGTAAACAAAGAATATTGATCTAGCAGCTATTTTTGCATTGGTTCTAGAGCTTTCCCTAGGCACAAAGGAAACTGTCCATAATTGACTGTAATACGAACAACAGACACTCTTCTGTGTCTGGAGTCACAATACTCATACAACTTGGACCCAACTTTACGGACACTGGTTACATAGTATCCTGTTTGAAAAATGATAGATTTCTATGGGTTAATACGATTTTATTGCGTAAAAAACAGCAGCAAAATAATGGACATGAATACTTTAATTCATTCCGATAATTCCATCTTTCTTCCTGTCTAGTTGACCTTTGTATGCTAATACACAAGTGTCACTTCCTTGGCTTTTTGGTGCAGTCATTATTTCTACCCTTCTTCCTTTTTACCTGCTTTATAGTCTTCATGTCAATAGAACATGTATCCGTGACTTTTTTCTGAGAGCCCACTCAAAACGAACACCTGGATAATATATTGGACACTATGTATGTCCCCTCAGTGTCCATATAATTCAGAACCGAATTCCACCTGTACTACGGAAAAAGAAAATTAAAAAAATCTTTAAAGGAAAAATAACTGCAAACAATGGGTACTGAAATATGCTCCTGTTACGGTATTTACCGTAAGTATTTTGCTGAAGCAAACTTTTTCCCGTCCTTTAGAGGAGAGGAAGTGCAATACACTGAAAGTGATATTTCTAATTTATATTCTCGGGTAAATTTAGACACTACAGCATCCTTTTACAACGAAGTATTTGATTGGACAGTTTGAAGCCATCTAAAATGACGAAATAAAAACAGACCAATCACCTTGTGTGATAGAAATTGATAGCTCGAGCCTCGTTTCTATGGTGCAGTGTGCCTCGAGGGCCCCCGGCTAATTCATAAACCAACGCCCCTGGAAAGCCGGACGTTTCGTTGCAAAGGTGGAATTTCATGGAAAGTAGGCAGTCATAATACTTGAGTTACTGAAGACTTGGCCGCGTTTCTAGGGTATTAAAGACATTCACACTCCATTACGGGTAAGTAATTTTGCGCTGCTGTAAAATATTCCTTGTAGTCCATGTCTTTAGGCGAAGAATGATGTTCGCTTGATTTTAACGTGGTCAAGCCGCCATTTCTTTTTGGCTGGCTTGATACGGAGGCGATATTTTATAATTGACCTGACTTCTCTTTGCGCGTGGCTAAAAGAGATTGGTCGAGTTTGAGAGACTTTCATGGACCGGGTAGGTAACAAGAAGGGTTTTGGTGGACTGACAATGCTTCTCGGTTTTGTAATGCTTTGTACAAACCTTCATTCCATCGTGGTGTTTATGCAGCGAAGAATCCGGCGTTAACTTATAAAACTTTCATTGATCCGTATTCAAACCATGTTGGCCTTCAGTTCGCTGTAACTGGCATGATATAACAGTGCATTATTGTCTTCTGGTCAACTATTAATTGAAACGAGAGTTAGCTTTACATTACCGATAATACAGCCTTGTCTTTTCCTCACTGTTTGAATGGTTTGTCGGGAAGTCCGTCAATAAATTTTTCAGCGCGAGAACGAATGTTGTGAATGAGAATGTTTGTTCTTTCCTTATGGCATATGTGGTAAAAAGCCTTGAACCTTTAAAACAGCGAGAAATTTTTTCCCTTTGTAATAAAATATCTCTTAAAATATCTTAAGGTTGATTTGCACTTTATTTCAAGTAATCTTGTGCATGTTCGTTCCCGTTGCAGGTTTTGAGAAAAGTTCACGAAACCATAAAAGTTCTAATATTCTAACAATATGCAAACCATTAAATGTGTAGTGGTTGGAGACGGAGCTGTAGGAAAAACCTGTTTACTCATATCTTACACAACAAATAAATTTCCAAGTGAATATGTTCCGACGGTAAGTGGTATATATGCTGTAACCATTAAAATGTCTTAAAGATCTTATTTTAAGCTCATCCATTTATCTCGATTAATACCCAAGATGTGCCGGATCAGTACGATAGATGAAACTTTTGAACATTGTATTTTGGTTTACTAAAGGATATTTTGATCATAGATGCATGGCAGCCGGTTTTTTAGTCTGATTAATCATTGAGTATTTTTGAGACGAATACCCTAATAGTTTCAGGCCGTTTGCTATGATGAGAATCAAAATTTTAATCCCATTTCATGTAAAATTGCACTATGAATGTAAAACATTTTTAGTTTCAGTGTCTTGGTCATCAAACTACTAATTAATATTCTCGTCACATTTTAAACTTCTCCTTTTAATGCATATTCTGTTTCAGCATTTGCACTTGTGCACCTGTGTCCAAAGGGATCAAATGGCATTAGATTGTGTTGCTTGTTCAATTTGGTTGCTAAAACATTGTCTTTTGTAAAGGAATCATTCCACAGTGTTTGTTTGTTTGCATTAGTCAATATTTTAACAGCGCAAGAGTTGTACGTCATAAACCTTCAGGGATGTGTTTCTACATACCATACAGCTTATCTCTGTCTCTTAGAAAGCCATTTGTATAGGCAACATGTGATGTGCCTTTTAAAGAGATGTCAAATCCTGACATAAAATTTTTTATGGTTTTTCTTAGTTCTCTTACAAGCATAGACCCACACATAAATCCCATTTTGTTTGTTGAGGACATAACAGTCAAGCCTGATTTCCTTATAACTGCTATGATACAATCACTGAAACATATTTCTGCCAGCATATCATTAGCAGTTTACATGAGAAAAAAACTGTCAAACATATATGGTAATATTAGATGATAACTGCTATAGACTTTTAAGTTATATTTTGCGGCTGGTTTCCACATAATGGATCAGACTGGACTTTCAGAAGGCATAGATATCCTGGTGGAATCCAGGCTTGAGTAAAGCAGAACAAAATACAAGTAAAGCAAATAAAGAGGCAAACAAAATGCATACATCTGCAAATAACACTTAATGTTCAGGTGTATTGTTAAAAATAGCAATAGTGATAGTGGTTTTTAATGCACTAGATAAGAAAGTAAGCTGAACATTTGAATACTGTTGAACCTTTGTACAGTCAAAACCCCACTTTACAGACACCTGCTTAATACAGACACCGCAGTATTAAGGACAGTTTGCTTCGACCCTGGGATAAGAAGGCGCCTACGTTTTCTCTAAATTCAACCCACTCTTCACACATGCACACATTCCATGGCCTCCATTAGTGTCCATTTTAATGGGGTTTGACTGTGTTACAGTCATGACATTTGATCCTTTTGGTATCATTCTTCACGTAAACACATTCTTCTGTGCGTGAACAAATTCTGTTTACATCTATTTAGAAACATGGCTGAAATACAGCGTTCACACAACCAGCTAACTAGAGTATACAATAATAATTATTCCAGTGGTTCTTACATTTTTATTGAGATTTCTTGATTATTTTCTGTTTACGACATTATTAAAACTTTATAGTTGCTTCTTCTTTCGCAAAAAAAGTAACTGACTTCTCTAAGCAAAGTAGCCTACCCATTTCATCGGCTGTTGGTGCTTATGGAAGATTAAGTCTGTGTTTGTCTTTCAGGTGTTTGATAACTATGCCGTAACTGTCATGATTGGTGGCGAGCCATACACACTAGGGTTGTTTGATACTGCAGGTAACTATGGCTTCCTTAACTGTTGATTTTATCACTTCACAGTGCCACTTAAAGGTGGCAATATTGATGTGTATAATGTACAACTATCCGCCGAAGGGGAGGTGTATAGTGGTGGAAATATACCGAGAAGTGAAGCGTCGAGATATACTGTATCTAGTGCTGTTCACCAACCCTGAGAAGTGTAGTTGTTTTAGTATTCACCCAATCTGTTGGATAAAAATGATAAAAAGTAACTTTTTGTAACATAAAAATGTCACTTAGTAGGAACTTTATTTACAATGTACAAACATTTCAGGGATTTTGTCAAGTGCATTTTTGATTTTTTGTCGCAAATTCAGCATTCTACCTATAATGTACCAATAAACAATGACAAACCAAAGTTCGTCACTTTCTTGGTATTTGTTTGTATGACTGCTTCATTTATTTTATTGCTCAAATTTCGTCTTTCGAAAATGCCTCAAAACAAGACGCCATCTTGGCTTCAGTCGCATAATGGTGAATAGCCAAGGATATTGCAAGTTACAGGAGCCAATCAAATGCACAAAAATTGCTATTCACTGATTTGGTAAATACTAAAATAAATTCATTGTTTGTTAACTATGTTGTAGTATGATTGTGGTTGAAATTGGTCAAGTAACTCAGTGCAGGGTTAAGTAGTCTTCTGAAACTACTTTTCATCCTTACCATTAATCTAAACTGAAGTAACATGTGTATTTCTTTTCTTTTAAAAAACCATTATACTAGAGTACACCTAATTGCAATAACGTTGTCATAGAAAAAAGCAAAAAGCAAAAAGACAAATAGGAATAAATTAGCCGTGTGACTTACATTTGCGTAAATTAATTCAGCATTTAACAGATATTTAGGAATTCATTCACAATAACAAGAGATAATTCTGTAATTCCACGCTGTAAGATAGACAGGCGCCATAGTCATTTTAGAGCCAACATTCTCCATCAACAGAAGTCACACAATTCGAAAAAGAAAAAGGTAAATTGACGCGAACAATATTAAGTCTCAGTTTTCGCACTTTCAGTCGCCAATCTATTATGTCCTGACAAACCAAGCTTGGTTTGTGGCTCACGTGAGGAACTGGCGGAAGACCCCCTTACCCTTAGCCTCCCAGGCAGGCGTTTTTAGGGGAGCTCGTTTTTCATCCCTAAAAACGCCTGCATGGGAGGCTACCTTACCCTCTCCGCAATGAAAATTCCTGCCTACACCCCTGATTTGTTGCTTGAAAATTGTGATCAGATGGTGTCGTGCACTGCAAACCATACGCAGACTGGAATTTACCCCAGGCTATATTTATTGATTTATTGGTAGTTATCCGATGTGCTTTGTAATTCGAGCACGTTTGAAATTCGCTAGATGAATCAGCCTCGAATTGCATTAGAATGACATCAAGAAACTGATGCAAATGATTTCTCTCATATTACGTGATTAATATTCAGCTATAAGCATGTGTGTTGTGAATGTTGCAAGCTATGATAATTACATGCTAATTAATTCCTATTTAACTTTTTGCTTTTTGCTTTTTGCTTTTTTCTATGACAACCTTATTGCAATTAGGTGTACACAGGGTTGTCATTAAGAACCGGGGGCTGGGGATTTTCCCCGGCTACTAAGAGAGTGGCCCCTGGCTACTTTTATTGGAAAATAGAAAAAATAGAACAAAAAGAAATCCCTGGCCATTTGATTCCCCGCCTATTTGTTGTATTTACCCGGCAACTTGAAATCTCAGTGACAACCCTGGTACAGGTGGAGCCCAAACCTTTGTGACACTTACCTGTCATATGTAAATGAGGCCTTTTTTTCCCCCAAAGCAATGAAGCTTTTCTCTTTGATAATGGCAAGCATTATTGGTGTATTTGTATGATGCCCTTTTTAAGCTGACTGATAAATAAGCATAGATCACAATGTCTGTGTTTGGTTGAGCATTCTTGAGTATCTTTTTATTTCTTAAAACTATTTGTGTCCGTTTAGGGTTTGTGCTACTTTTTTGCATTAATTTATTTTTCCTTATTAATTATCTTTCCCTTCAACAGTCTTCATTATTTTACAGTTTCTTCATTGTAATGTAACAACATGACCATAATCGAGGAGGCACATGACAAAAAAATTGGCACGAAGGCAACTTCATTTGCTCAATAGAGATGGCTGTTTCATAGGGGTCAAATGTATTGTTATTGCGGGAAGCAAATTCTGGGAATGCGATTGGTAACTGCTTACTAGAGGGTGATTGCTTAATGGATGGCTGCAAATTTGAGGTTTGACTGTTAGTAATTGTTCATTGTTTTTATTCGTTAACAGGTCAAGAAGATTATGACAGGCTGAGACCCCTTTCTTACCCTCAGACAGACGTATTTCTTGTGTGTTTTTCTGTAGTTTCACCAGCTTCATTTGAAAATGTTAAAGAAAAGGTAAGGGCCTGATCTGCCAACCCTAGTCTTTTGAAACTGTGATTAACTTGTAACATCTTTAAGGCAACGATGTTTAAGATGCATTGTCAAAAAGTCACAACATTCACTTCAACAAATTAATGTTGTGACTGCCTAGCTGGGCTCCCATGCCATTCTAGAAATCAATTTATTGGCCATGAGTCATGTGTCAGGCAACCTCCAGCGCAGACGTAGGGGGAGAGGGCAGATTGAGGTATTTGAAAAGATGCTTACGGGCTCTCCACTTCTCTCTTCCCGCCATTTTTCACTTGTTCGTTATTTCACAGCTTGCTCGCTTTAACAACTTGTCCGCACTGACTGAGAGCCTGACACAGGTTACATTTTGCAGGGACACCAGTAGTGGCATCACCAAATTTCTGCTGTTTTCTTAGGCTATCACTGCTTTGGCTCTGTGTGTTATATGCAGGGTTTGCACATCCCTTGAAAGTCCTTGGAAGTTGTTAAATTTTAAACTTTTAATTCAAGGCCTTGAAAGTCCTTGAAAATTGCCAGCGGTTCTTGAAAGTCCTTGAATTTCAATGCTAACTTTGTAGTTTAAGTAGAACTTCAAAGTGAAAGAAGCAGACACAGAAAGACCTTCAGGATGAAATTACCTCATGTTGTAGAAGAGCTAAAAAAGGCATAGACTCAAGGTTCATTTTTGCACTGAATTGAGAAATGTCCTAGAAAAGTCCTTGAATTTTTTGTTCAAAACCTTTAAATGTATTTGCGTTTGACAGACACTAGTAGCAAGTTTTCTTCCATTTCAGTGGGTTCCAGAAATAACCCATCACTGTCCGAAGACACCGTTTTTACTTGTTGGTACCCAAGTCGACTTGCGTGATGATGCTTCAACAATAGAGAAGCTAGCCAAGAACAAGCAAAAACCCATCACTGTTGAATCTGCAGAAAAGCAAGCACGAGAGCTAAGAGCTGTCAAATATGTAGAATGCTCTGCGTTAACACAAAAGGGCCTGAAAAATGTCTTTGATGAAGCAATCTTAGCAGCACTCGAACCTCCAGAGCAACCGAAGAAAAAGAAATGTACATTGCTTTGAACAATGGACTGGTACATGTAAATTGATGTGGAAAATGACACTCACAATGTTGATTTGGGACAAGATTCTGTTTGTCCACACACCTAGCTATACAACGAATGCTGTGTAGAACTGGAGTGGATTAATACATGGGTGTTCTAAACAGAAGCTGTGTAGATGTACCATTATCTAAAGAAAGAGTTGTAAAAAAAAATGTCTGAATGTTTAAAGTGAGAGCCAAAGACTATGATTTATTTGTTTTGACTTTTAAGGCACTAGCAGAGGTTCTTGCTTGTCAACTGAAACTCTCTTTCTTTGATTCTGCTTTGCTGTTTTAATATTATGATATATATGTATCGTCACTCGTAGAAGCATAATAACCTCTTGATAAATTGAAAGCTGTGGCATTAGGCATGTATGGGTATTTATTGTGACAAACAAGAGTGTTTCAGAATCAAGGCAAAACTAGTAGGTGATGATAAATTGAACTGGTACCTCTGTGTAACCCAACTTGCCAGTTACCTGACCAAATCCTTCAGTTGCTTGATCCAAGCAAGGTAGCTAATCAAAAGTGCTGAATATTGCTCTGGAATTTAATTGGCTTCTATTGGTATTGTATATTATTTTGCTAACTTTTCATGTAGCAATGGGTAGCTGCATGATATCTGATTTTCTGTTTTGTTGGCAGTGGATTTATAAAAATGTAAGTTATTGCGTCAATCATTCTAGTATCAGTCAATAACCATTCGTGACCTTCTGTTGACTTGTTGGGAAGGCCTAAGCTGCTATAAGCTTTTCTTTCTCCTTTAGTGATTGTCAAATTCTCCAATAATGTACCTGTTATTAGTAAGTATGCAGGAAGAACAGGATTGTAAGGTTCAATCGTATTCACACTGTACTGGAAAGCTTTCATGTTGTCTCATTTGCTTTTTTGTGTTCACACATGAAATGCCATTTTTCAGCTGCTGCACGGCAGTGTTAATCAAACTGAAAAACTTTGTACCATGTTGAAAGTTTTAGGCTTTTGTTTTATGTTGTTGTTCACATTGTACCATATCAGTTTCTGTGCTGGCACAAAAATCCTTGTGGTATAGTGTGAACAGTGCGTGAGTGATGAATATTATCTAGAAGGAAACAAGAGCAAGATTTGGTGCAAGTTCACACTTGTGACAGTTATGATCACTCACTGAAGAGATGGAGGTTGAACACTCATCATCTCTTAGGTCCTACATGCAGTAATGTTTTTGCTAGAAAATGTAAACTAGTAATTATTGGATGGCCTTAAATTCTTGGTGTGTTGAGATGTTGAAATTGATAATTTTCCTTCATGTAAAAAGGATCAGTTATAAGCTATTGGCTGCATCTTGCTGTTCTCTTTTTTTGACCCTTTAAGTCCCAGTATCCCTGTACAAATTCTCCAAACTGTTCTCAATACATTTCCTAAAGAGTGTTTAGAGAATTTAATAAAAGATCTCTGCAATTTCCCTTTGTTAATCACTTTAATAATTCTCACAACTATTTCTCTTGAAAATGTATGTAAATTGCTAGGAGAAAATTGATGGTGGTCAAACTTGAGATTTACGGGGTTAAACTCTAGTAGAAATCTTGTAATGCATCTATTGCAGTCAATGGCTTGACTATTTATTTTATTGAAGATTATTGTGTTGAATTCTAAAGTGATCAGTTGTGTGCTTACTAACAATACTTTTTACAACTAGATACATTCAAAATGGTACAGAAATATTGAATGTGAACAGCAACTTTAAAAAATTAAAGGAACCTGGTGTTGATGAATACAAAATTTTGTAGATGTTTGTGCAATAGGGCAGTTACATGATGAAGTCATTTGACAATAATGCCCAGAATCCCTCAGTCTGATGTGTTCTTGTGCATATAAGTGTTGTTTCTTAAACCTTGGCATGGATGAGAATTTCAAATAATATAGGGAAACAAAATGATTCCTGGTCGCTGTAGTCAAATGACATCATGAAAATGGCCTATTTAAAGATATAGGAATGACATGTTGAGAATTCTTAAGATCAATAAACTAATAAATTGCAAATGCATTTTTTGTGCGTAGTGTATTTAACGACAGTTAAAAAATTTCAAAATTTACAAGGATGTGTATGGAAAGCCGCTCAAGCTTGACTGGGTTGCAAGAGTTATTTTTCTCATACAAATCGCTCTAACTTTCAGTGGCCACTGCAATCGCTACATTGATATATACGGCTGAAAATTTACTGCTTACTAAAATTTAATATGCTCTTTCAGCTCCTGCTGACAAACTTTTCCAAAAGCGAACTATTTTCGTGTTTACAAAAAGTTGATCACGTGACCAATTACTGCAAAAAAAAAAAAAAAAAAAAAAAAAAAAAAACTTTTGCTACCCAACCTCATCCCCAGGATGCTTTTCCCTGGCTTTTGCTACCATGTTTAAGACAGGAGACCATTTTTCATGACCCTTATTCCTTTCATTTTGAGTAGGGGGTCTAGCACAATAGGATTACAGCTCTAACAAAATTGTTTGTACCAGACACGGCCAATCTTGAACCCCTCAGCCTGCTTTAGAGTCAAGACCTCCCAAACCATGCCCTGTTCAACGGCACATCCTTGTTTAGGCCCAGATAAGGGAATGTCTCTGCCCCTCTTGGAGTTGCATGGCTTAGCGCTGAAGTGGAACCTACTGTCATCAAGCTGAATCACTCAGATTGGTTTAATCAAAGCAGTCTCTGTAAGAGCTCCAGTCATAGGCCTTTATCGGTTTACCCTCCAGGGCCAGGTTTATTGAACGTTAGGTTGCGCTATCCAGGGGATAAGTATTAGGGAAACCATTTGTGCTATTCACTAGATAAACATTTACCCAGTGGATAGTGTTATCCCCCATATGAACAACTAACTGGGCCAGTAGACGGTCGACGAACAGTGAGGTGCCCTGGCCACCGACTAAAAAGAAATGGGAGACATATGCATCTGCACGTAGGCTATCTGACTTTTTGTTGGTTCTAATTCTAAGGTGTTAATTTCTTGTAAATTACTAAACATGCATTGAGTATGGTCTTGGACATAATTCCCCCCCTCAAAAAAAAAAAAAAAAACAGAAATTGGCTGTATGAGTAAAGGTCAATGAAAAGTGCCATGCAAAAGGTCTTGAGAGCGACTCTGGCCCTGTCAGTCATAACGTGGCCTTGCCCTGGGAGTGAAAAGATTAAGATAGTGCCACCTTGAGGGAGGTGGGGTGGGGCTACTCAACAAGGTTTCATTTGGGGAGGTTTCACCAACCCTTCACCCATTTTATTTTAATTTATACGTTTTTGGCAGAAAAGGTACTCGTTTCAATTCGAATACCTTCCAATATTATTAAAACTGGTGCCCCTTTCAGGTACGTACTAATAGCAGGAGCCTGGGCTTCTGCCGGTAACAGCAAATCCTCTTTTCCTCGTTTCATAGATTAAATTGAGACAGCCATGAGGTGTATTGGGTTCGAAATATTTCAAAAGAGATATGGAGGCCGATCAACACCCTTTATAAACGTGAAGCCTGAAGAAAGTACCTCTTTCAGGCGGAGCCTCCCTCTCGTATTGGCCATCATAGGAAGTCCACTTCGGTCCCCGCTCCCCCCTCCCTGCCACAAGGTGCAATATGCCAGATGCTTATCAACAACGATTGTAGCTTGGGCTCCTGGTTTAATATTTGCAACTTCAACAGTCAACAAAACCGAGTTATAAATTGTTAGTAGGCGTCTGTGATGTGCAGAGATGTGATGTGATGAACTGTATTCATTTTTCTTTTGTAGCCCCCATTGAAGGTTTGTGTTGCAAACCGAAATATCGGGCAAATATAATTCACCACTTCATTTTTGTTTTCTTTACTTATTTTTTCTACCACTCTTCCTTCCGTAAGGATCAGTTTACTGTTTGAGGCAAAAAACGCGAGGGGACTGGGCAGAGAGGTTGCGGTTTTCCTTTCCCCACGCGTGACCTATTTCTCTTTTACATGCCTGGGGCCCGTTTCTCGAAAGTCCCGGTAACTTTACGGGCCCGAAATCAAATATTCAAATCGAAATATAAAGAATAAGAGCGCGGGTCCTGGCTAGCAAACTACTCCATTTTGTTTCATTAACTGACAGTTTTATCGTGTTGGATGCAAAACTATTGAAACCACGATTATTAATGTAAACAGAGACAGCTTACCGGGCCCGTTAATTATCGGGACTTTCGAGAAACGGGCCCCTGGGGCCCGTTTCTCAAAAGTCCCGGTAAGTTTTCGGGCCCGAAATCAAATATTCAAATCGAAATATAAAGAGTAAGAGCGCGGGTCCAGGCTAGCAAACTACTCCATTTTGTTTCATTAACTGATAGTCTTATCATGTTAGATGCAAAACTACTGAAACATCGATCTTTAAGGTAAACGGCAACAGCTTACCGGGCCCGTTAATTATCGGGACTTTCGAGAAACGGGCCCCTGGTCCCTACGCACTGGGCAACTTTCCCTTGACCTTTTTTAAACGCCCCTGCTATCTGAGAGCCTGGCACACGTTACACAGCATCATCCATTGTTTAACAGATGTGAAAATCAAGAGGTGCAGAACTTGTTAAACGCGCGGTGTGTCACTTGGTATTGACTCGCAGGCAATGCAGCCTCCAGTTATTCCCAGTCGTTTTCGGCGGGTTCGTACAAAGTCCATATCGTGCAAAAGAAAGCTTTAATAATAATAATAACAATAATAATAATAATAATAATAATAATAACAATTTAAACATATTTATACAGGCCTAGGATTGCTGCATCAATTTTAAGAGAAAACTACTATCAATGCAGGTCCTGCATTTGTTCAAGAGGTTTCACTTTAGGAGTGACAACGGAGAACAGTTCAAAAGCATCACAACCAAAGTTTCATGTCCCGTTAAATTATGGGTGCGGACATGTTGCACTTCCTGAGCGGGGCGAATAGGCCAACAGATCCGCGGATTTTAAAATATTCTTGCCCGCCATTAAGAGCGAAATTTTAAAGTATTTTCGGATCCTGTAGTTGGAAAAAATGGCGGTTACATGCCATTTTATAAAGTTGGCATAGTGAAATCTCCACGATCGTCATAATTGTTTTGTTTATCTTTTGTGTGTACGTGTTGTTTTGTTTTGCTGTTAGTTGATTGTTAGTTGTTGTTGTTATTGTCACGGACGAAAGTCACTGTATTACAAACCCGACATACTAACACGTTAGACTTAGATGTTTCCCTGTATTTTTAATTGGGTGGAATAAAATATTGATATGGATTGTTTTTGCACGTTGTACTGGGTGCAATTATTAGATATACTTATTATTCTGTCGCAGTTAAGGCCCATCGTCATGTCCTTTGTGACCTTTGTCGCCATTAATTTTTTCATCTGTCGGTCTTATGTTGCTGTTTTCAGGGCCATGTCGCTTCGTCGGAATTTTTTAGCCCTGCCGCAGGCTTCTTTCAAAGATATCTATCACTTTTAGCAAGAGTCAGACAGTGATACTGTTAAGAAGGAGTTACAGAATGATGACATCTCCGAGTTCAAGAACTTATAAGAACTTATAGAAGAAAAGTTGGTCTAAATTATACTTTCCTAGTTACTTGTTTCAAAGGTAGAGAGACACACTACAGTTCTCAAACTTTACTATGATTTGAACCATAAACTGAACGAAGTATAACGACAAAGTATCATGCAGTGCTGTGTGCATGTAGTGTTATTCATTGCCCGTCAGGTGTAGTTTATAGTCTATAATACTACTCTATAACAAACATAATACAGCTTCTTTATGCTTATGCGGTCGATAACTTTCTGCGTATAGGAATAAGGACATTTTGCAATAAAAGGGGTTAAAATTAAGACGATAAAAATCATTCAAAGACAAATTCATTTTCTTTTCAGTATTTTCTCACTGGACACCCGTTTCGTTTGCCTATATGGTAACATATACAATCACCAACAAACAGGTCAGAATTTTAATTCTTTTAATTCTATTAAAATAGTAAGGGTTAGTTTCCGCGTTTTAGGCTATTTTAGGCACGTGTCACAAGACGTGTTTTATCACGTGTTTTATGTTTAAAGTTCACGAAAATCATCTTTAGTTAGCTAGCGATTTGAGCCTCTGCTCGCAGCCCAGTTCAAACGTCGAATTTCACATGTGCCGAACTTAATTGCTATTTTAGTCGAATAAAATAGTTAAATACGGCATTTGATTCAAACGTCGAATTTAACTCACTGAACTCTGTCGAATTTAACTCTCTTCGCTGTCAATATTCCCAGTAATATAATAATAATTTACTAAAATTCATTCATTAAGTTCGGCGCATGTGAAATGCAACGTTTGAATCAAAAGTCGAACCTAAGTCGAATCTTCGACTGTTTCAGTCGCAGCCGTACGGCAAACGTTAATTTGAGCAGTCGAATTTAATTGATTCAAACGTAGCACTTCACATGCATTTAACTTTTGCGTTAAGTTTGGCACATGTGAAATTCGACGTTTGAACCGGGCCTAATTTGAGCTAATTTTTGATAATCATACACTTTGTAGACTGATTCATAGCCTGCGTAGCAGGCGCTAAGAAATAAATGAGCGCAAAAAGAAACGACAGGTTAACGGATTTAATAATTAGGGGAACCCCCTTTGACCCGTGATTGGACAAACGACCACAAAGAGTCAAATATTTATTTTGAGCCTCGATTTCTTACCATCACACTACAACATCTAAACACCTATAACTAACATACAGAG